AAACACCGGTGCCCTGCAAGGCTGAGTACTCAGTCTCCCACTCGACTCCTTATACACTCACGACTGTGGCCAAATCTGCCCCAGCACCATTTACAAGTTTGTTGATGACACCACTGTTGTAGGGTGGATCTCAAACAATGACGAGACAGAATACAGAAAGAGATTGAGTGCTTAGTGGTTTGGTGTAAAGACAACAATCTCTTTATCAATCTATACTGTGAGGAAGGGTCACCGGACCTGAAATGTTAACTCTGTTCTTTCCTTCACAGATGCTGCCAGACCTGCTGAGCCTTTCCAACAACTTCTGTTTTTGTTCCTGATTTACAGCATCCGCAATTCATTCGGTTTTTAGTCTCTCTATCAATGTCAGCAAAATGAAGGAACTGCTCATCAACTCGAGGAAGTGGTGTGGAGGGCACACCCCTATCTGCATCAATGGTGCTGAGGTGGAGATGGTCAAGAGCGTCAGGTTCCTGGGAATGACGATCACCAACAATCTATCCTCATTCACCCACGTTGACGCAATGGTCAAGAAAGCACAACAATGGCTCTACTTCCTCAAATTTGGCATGTCCACAAGGACTTTTACCAATTTTTATAGATGCACCATAGAAAGTGTTATATTTGAATGTAACACAGTGTGGTTTGGCAACTGTTCTTCCCAAGACCACAAGAAACTAGTGAGTTCCAAACACCGCTCAGTCTGTCACGCAAACCAGCCTTTAATCCACTGATGCCATCTATACTCTTGCGCTGCAGGGAAGCAACCAACATAATCAAAGACCCCTCCCACCCTGGTTATACTCTCTTCTACTGAGCAGATGTAAAAGTTTGTATCCACGTACAAATAGATTCAAGAACAACTTCTTCCTGCTGTTGTTAGACTTCTGAATGAACATCTTAAATTTTGAATTTGATGTTGATCTCGCTCTCTGTATGCCTTCTCTGCAGCTGTAACATTGTTTCTTTGCTCTGTTTTATCCTAATGCACTTTGTATGGTATGACCTGCATGTGCTGCACACAAAGCAAAACTTTTCACTGTATCAAGGTACATGTGATAATAATTAAGCAATTCAAAATTTTAAAAAAAGGGTTTTGCCCTAGGAATCCTCAACATTGACTGTAGATCCCACAAAGCCTCAGTCTCAGGTTGAACACTGGTAAGGGAACCTCCTGCTGATTGCCACATATTCTTACCCCTCACCCCAGCCAATAATCAGTACTCCACTGTGTTGAACACCAGTTGGAGAAATCACTGAAGCACTGAAGATAGCAAATGGGTAGAATTACTTTGGGCGGGGAGCTTTAATGTTCATAAGCAAGTGCAGTGGTGTTGTACCAGTACCAGAATGGGGTCTGCAGCAAATGGTGAGGAAACCAACGAGAGGGACAAACACACTTGACCTCATCTTCCTGCTGAAAGTGCATCTGTCCATGACAATATCTGTATGGATGACCACTCTAACAGCTCTTGGGCAGACGTAGACCCCTTCACATTGAGGATAGCGCCACACAGCACAATCACCCTGCAAAGTGAAGCAGACTTTGAACAGGATTACCAACTGAAGGTAATCTCAACCTCAATCCATGAGGCGCACTGGGGGTCATCAACAGCAGTAGGATTGAAAACAGACGCAATCT